AATTATATGACAATAAACTTTTTTTTGTCAGCAAAAACTGTTTCTGTTAAAATATATATATAAATTATTTTAGAACCAAAACAATCACTTGTTAATGGCATGGTATAATAATTAAATCTTAAATGTAATACCATAATAGACAATAAATACACACTATATAACAATAACTTGTAAACTTATTTGTATTTAATTATAACTCAGATTGGCCACATTAGTGCTCAAAAATTAAAAATGAAACTAATTTTCAGCAAGTTATTTACTCTTCTCTAATCTCAAATTATAAAAATGTTAAAGTGAATATTAAAAATGTTAAAAAAAAGTTAATAATAAAAATGAAATCAATTGCTCACAAAATATGCAACATTCCCTCAGTATAATTTGAGTAGGCTTCAAATGTGGTTGAGTATCTACAATTTTGTATAAATAAAATATCACAATTAAATCACTCCTCTAAGAATTATCTGGATCTGTCATTGTAACAAACTTCCAAATTTCTCAATAACAAATGTGAAGAAGTCTTGTCATATTGTTCTGATACCTTGTCATAGTCAGACACTATTAATCATTATTGATTATCTATTCTGAAACATTTTAAAGAAAAAGCAGTTTGGATATGTTTATTAGAGAGTTGATGGATATTGAACAGGGCTGCAAGTCGGTAAATAAAATTTTAGTGGGCCAACTCCGACCCTGGCAAAATTAAATACCAAATCATTTTATGAGGGGCAGAGGCGCTCATAGGGGTATCCTACTCTGAACTCTAAAAGGAGCTCTGGCCAAATAGTTTTATACATAGGCTGTTTTTCAAGCTCTGATAGTCCATTAAAAAAAAAGACAATTGTAAATAACAAAATGAATTTATTACCAAAAGTTAGGTACAGACATGCTTACTTTTTGACATAATCACCGTGAAGATTGAGGCATTTGTCATATCTGTGGATGAGTTTTTCCATCCCCTTGTCACAGAATGTTGCTGTTAGTTCAATTAAAAAGTGTGCGATCTAGCTACTTCAGCCCCTTGTTCAGAAAATAAAAATATGAACTCTGATCAATTAGTCTGGTTCATTCAGAAAAATAGAGTACTTATTTAGAACAGGGACAATAAAGGAATGATCCAAAATATTTAAATTCAATTGGATCAAAATAATTTTACTACTAAACACAAATACTACAAAGAACATTACAAATTTAATAAATTAAATTGATGTATTTTGTATTTAAAATAAATGGATTATTACAAAATATTAAAATATTTTTAAAAATTAATAAATATATAATAAATTTTCTTTCATTTAAATAAAAAAAAAAAAGTAAGTTTAAAATGTGGGAGTCAGAGTCAACACATTTTTTTTGGACTTTGACTTCTTTGGCCAGAAATTCCTCCCAACTCTGACTCCACAGCCCTGATATCTAAACAAACCATATTCCATTCACAATTAGAAGTGAATAGTTCTGGGTTTCTTTTGCATCCACTTAAAACATAACAGCAATAAGACATACCATCAAATTTTATCATGTTAAGATGACTTCTTAAAGTAATAAAAACTAAAATGATGCTAGAGCCATATTTTTGATGTGGAAAAATTGTTACAGATAATATACAATGGCATATAATCAGCTTAATTAGTCAAAAGCTTTTTAACACACAATCTACAGATTGTATGTTGGAAAATACTATTATTTATATCAAGAGTATTTTATCATAGTTATTTTGTATTCTAATAAATGTACAAGAGCAGTTCAACTTCTGTTTGGAATTTCAGTAATGTTTATGGAACTGTATTTGCTACATAGTCTGAATTTTGCTACATAGTCTGTTTCTTTTTAAGTACTCTTACACAAACTGATGCTTCTCTCATCATTTTGGTCTTTAGGGTTGTGTTGGAGTCATTACATGACAACTCTCTGCAGCCAGAGACTTCAGCATTCCAGGTAAATCTTCTGTCTCCCAAAGCATTGTTGAAAGGCCATACCGGTAATAATTGCCGAATGACAGATCCAGACTGTAGGCCAGGTGATCCAGAATTTCCTAAGTCTGTTGATTGCCTCTACCATGTGCAAGGCTGTTCTTTGACACTAGTCAAAAGACTTCTATTCTATAGCCAAATGATGAAAGAAGTGTCAGCATGAGGAGGGGAGTTTGTAGAGAAAAAAACATAAATTGGGACTACATAGCACATGTAATTCTATTGCCTTTACTGAAATTCCAGACAGAAGTTGAACTGCCGTTGTATTTTACATTTGTTATATTAGTGAATTAATTAACTAACTAATTTACTAATTAATGAAAGATAGTATACAAAATCTTAAAAATATTTTATAAAATAAATTTCATTTAATCTTAATTAACTATTTCTGGGAGTTTTTCCTTAATTTTAAATAATCGTTATTTGAAGAAGAAGAACATTTGGGAATACGTTTAGGTAGATGCATTTAAATTGATTAATAAAAATTTATATTGCAAAATGTGATAGCAAATATATTTATCTGAACAAATAATTTGACCATGTTTTCTTATATTAAAAAAAATAGTTTATGTAATTGTCTTTAAAATAATTTTAAACTTGTAAATGAAATAAAATATTTATTTCTTATATATATTCTTATTTGAATATATATTTGCTATTTCTTGCTGTTAATATAGAACTTCAGTTTTTAAATAATATTGAAACAATAAATTTAGAAAATCTAATTGTATTACAAATCTTCAAATGATATATGATTTAATAATTTAGGACATAAACTAGTTATAACATATAAAATTTTCTGAGAAATGTATAATTAATATATATGGTTTTTTTAAATGTAGGTAGAAAAATTATTGGAAATTTATTTATATTTAAATAATTAAAAATGTCTGATTCAAAAGGGAAATTATTATTGTATAGAGTTATATTACAATATATTAATATTAATGATTATATAGAGTGATCAACAAAAATTTTGCTTGCAATGAGTAGAATTGGAAACATTGTCAGCTTCCATTGCTTGTTATTGTCTTGTTTGTGTTGCAAGAACACTTGAATCTTGAAAATTTATTTTCTACAGTATTTGGATAACATTAAATAAATAAAATAAATTATAAAAATACCATTTTCCGATCAATGTGACAAATCATTCTGGTACCACTGATTTATGGTATTGCCAAATCTGTTCTTGCAAGTACATTTTTTATTTGATCACATACATAATTGTAAACTTAATTTAATGATTTAAAAAATAAAAATTATTTTAATTATAACAGTTAAATCTGCAATAATAATTACAATTGCTGTTTTAGACTTAAAATCAGAAAGCTTCCTGTTTTATTTAATTAATGTAACATGAAACCTTCAGATTTTTGGTTACATTTAAGATAAAATGCTTAATAAATAGATGATTTTATGTATTTTTGTGTACAGATCTATACTCGTAAGTATATCATCTCTCTTTTGATTTCTTTATTAACACTAAAAATAGGATACTTCTATAAGTAAGGAGTTTAATCTGCTGTCATTAGCATACTCTTTAAGTTTTTTCTTTATATTTCTTTTAAATGATTAAATTTTATTTTTTTCCACTGTATTAATATATGAAACTTGTTTTTAAATTAGTATTTTAAATATTTTACAACTATTTATATCGACATTCAATGTGCTTGTCTATAAGCTTTTTTTAATATAAGCAAACAGACATCTCATTTGTTGAAAAGTCTCAGTACAATATAATATTCATAGTTTTCTCAATAATATGATTTATTTAATCATATTTTCTATAGCATTGTGCTATTAAAAACCTTTCTATGATTATATTGTTGATATCATCTGAAAAATTATAATTTATTTATTATAATTTTTCAAAATTATGCATTTAAATAAGTTTTTTTATTTTATGCTATTTTAAAAATATTTTCAGAATGTTTGCAAGTAATCTGCAATTTATTTCTTCCATTTTTACCTATTGAAAAAATTAATGCTGAATTATTTGAAAAACTTATCCCAAAGGTATACATATAAGATAAATTCAGTTAATTAATTATTTTTATGTTAATGTTATATAATTAAACAATCTTTAAAAAAAGCAAAGTTTTTATCATTAAAATTAAAAAATTTTAATATAACATAACTGTTAGATTGCCTTTATATGTTAAGATTAATGATTAGAAATTTGTTTGAATTATATAATTTATGGTAAAATATAATAGTTTAGGTAATTCAGATTCAGAGTTTGTGATAAAATTTACAAAATAAACATCCTAGAAAATAATCATAAGAATGAATTCCCTTTAACTGTAGAACTTGATCATGATTATTAAAAATGATTGATTACCTTTGATTAAATATTTTAAAATTTTGACATTTATTATGTAATTAGATTTCAGCTTTGTTCCAGAATATCATCATAGACATTAAAGATATTATTCAAAGTGAAGATCTAGATTGTAATAAAACAGAAAATATAACTGATTTTTTAGAGGTTTGTATAATTTAAATATCAATGATTATAAGTATACAGTAATACCCCAAACTTACGTGATAGGTGGGATTGAGCAATAACCTTGTAAGTCGAATTCGCATAAGTCGGGGTATAATTTCATAATTTGTGTAAAATCCAAGTTGGATTTATGTAAGCTAATAAATGTTCTTGTTAATCTTATCTCGTCTTTTGATTTGTTCATGGTTACAAGAAATCACCATGTAGTGTCTCTCAAGTCTCCATAGATATAACAAACACAGAAATAAATAACACAAAATAAATTGTAGCTATGTGTCAATTCCACGCAACACGTCCAAACATGTAAGCCAAACAATAGTGTGGGTGAGTGAGTAATCAAGAGTTGTGTGGCACTCAAACAAAAGACGAATCGACAAGATTTGAAAATCATGTAACTCCGGGTTCACGTAAGTCGGGGTAGTGTAAGTTGCGGTATTACTGTATATATAGGGTGTCCCATAGGTCTGGAACAAATAGGAATTATGCTGATTTTTGTTTATTCTTTTACAAGTACTGAGTAAGGAGGAATGAAATCAAGTTATTTTGATGATGGAGACTTGCAATTAGAAAGAAATTGCCAAAGTATATAACAGACTGAATTCAGAATGCTGTATGTTTGGTGAGAAGTCTGAATAATGCCTGTTAAACTCTGACAACTTCTTTCTCAGTGCAGGTCTCTACAGTATCACTAAAATAATTTGAATTCATTTTACCTTACTCATACCATGCTTTGCCTGCAAAAGAATAAACAAAGATCAACATAACTTCTATGGTTCCAAACTATTAGAAAATGTATATTATAATTTAAATATTTAAAAATATATATATTTATAATACTATTTGTAACAAGAAAAAAGTAATAACTTTCCTAATAATGGCTGTATGACTGGAAAGTTCATAATAATCAGCATACATTTATCATCTAAACCTAGAAAAATAAAGAAATCCTTGATTGCTTTTATCCCTGGAATTATTAGATATTTAACATAAAAGTGCTGAATATGTTCTGAAGATAAGTATAGCAGTAAAAATCTTAAAAAGTTTTGTACCAGCTGGATCTACATAAAACATGAATTTGTTTTCATTAGTACTAAGCAGTTAATACTGTAGAGTTACCTGTCTTCAATTGTTTTGACTTTTTGTATCATGCAAAAAGTAAAATTATTATTAAACTTGAAAATAATTCTAATAATTATCCATAGCTGTATATTGTCTAAAATAAGTAGTACAATGTACAGTGGGTGATTGGTTAATGAACAAATCGGATAACGAACATTTTCGTGAAAGATTTTTATGATCAGACAACAAACACACGTTCGGATAATGAACACTTCACTGAACAAACATAAAAAGAAGTGACGAAAATAGCAAATACCGATTTATTTTCTCTTGTCTTCAGGCAATAATTTGAAACTTTTCGGAGCACTAGAGATGTCCACATTGACACTCAACCCAGAATATACTGATAAGATAGTATTCCTCCAAACCTTGAAACTCTCCCTTGTAATTCCAGCCTTTTATTTTTCTAACAGAAACAATTCTTTTATAGTATTTGCAAGACTGTCAGGCGGGCACTCGTTAAGTTTTGCGTGGGTATTTATTTTCGAAAGGTGAGAGTATAATAGCAAAGGTAGATATCTGATGATAATAGTGGGCAGATATCTGATGATCAATAGGATGACTGTCACGCCAAAGTACTGTATTTTAAAAAGAGAAAACACTGAGGTCGGCATTACATGTGCGTTTTAAAATGCACATGTAACGCCAATCTCATTGTCTTTTTTTTTTTTATAAGATATCTGATGTCTGATGTTGCTGGGCAGTATGGCTTGAACAAATCTACAGTAGGGTGCAGTTCAATCCTATCTAAGAAAGATACAGTATAATCAAGAAGACTCAAGTAGCTAAAGTAATAACAAAAATCACTTCTGAGAAATAAAGAACATTAAAGAGCTCATAACGGAACCTGAAACATATCTGACGACAGAAGAAAGCCAAGAACTCTTGAATGAAGAACACTAAGAAACTCAGTGAGATATGTTTTATTATGAAAAAAAGGATTAATGCCAATATCTGCTATTAATTAAAGATCTTTTGAAGAAGTGGGGGATGTCAGATCAACAGTCTTAGAATGGCATACAAATCAGGTTGAGGTTAATAGGCTTGGGGATCTCTACAATTACAATGCTATTAATTACTTCTGAAAAANTATTTAGGCAGATCTTTACGTCTACTTTTTTTAGATTTTTATTTAATAAAAAATAATAAAACATTATTTAAAGGCTTAGTGTTTTTTAAATTTTTATGTGCTTATTTCTTTTTTTGATTTTATTTTATGAAGATTTTCTGTTGATATTGAATAAATTTTCATAAAAATGTATTCACAGACTCTTGACCACTAACAGTTTAAGATCACTAATTTATATGAAATTAGAATTTCAAATCAATTAATAAAATAGATATTTATGTTTTAGAAAATAAGTGTATAATTTCCCATGGGGTATTTTTAATGATAATTACAAGATCAGTAATTACATTAAATTTCTTGAAGTTATAAATTGCATATATTGCTACATAGCATGTTACAGTTCTTAAGTTAGTTTATATAACAATTATAAAAGTATTTAAAAGATTTCAAGAATATATATCCTATTTAGGGATAATAATATGCTTTTTCTAGCATTTACTATCATTTCCTGCCTATAAGTTTATTGCTATTTACAGTAATTTGTGCAAGTTTGCATCATTGCTTAATTGTTTAAGTAATTAATAAATATCCAAAGAATTGTATCATTTCATTGTTGATGCACTTTAGCAATTAAACAATGATGTAAACTTGTACAAATTATATGACAATAAACTTTTTTTTGTCAGCAAAAACTGTTTCTGTTAAAATATATATATAAATTATTTTAGAACCAAAACAATCACTTGTTAATGGCATGGTATAATAATTAAATCTTAAATGTAATACCATAATAGACAATAAATACACACTATATAACAATAACTTGTAAACTTATTTGTATTTAATTATAACTCAGATTGGCCACATTAGTGCTCAAAAATTAAAAATGAAACTAATTTTCAGCAAGTTATTTACTCTTCTCTAATCTCAAATTATAAAAATGTTAAAGTGAATATTAAAAATGTTAAAAAAAAGTTAATAATAAAAATGAAATCAATTGCTCACAAAATATGCAACATTCCCTCAGTATAATTTGAGTTGGCTTCAAATGTGGTTGAGTATCTACAATTTTGTATAAATAAAATATCACAATTAAATCACTCCTCTAAGAATTATCTGGATCTGTCATTGTAACAAACTTCCAAATTTCTCAATAACAAATGTGAAGAAGTCTTGTCATATTGTTCTGATACCTTGTCATAGTCAGACACTATTAATCATTATTGATTATCTATTCTGAAACATTTTAAAGAAAAAGCAGTTTGGATATGTTTATTAGAGAGTTGATGGATATTGAACAGGGCTGCAAGTCGGTAAATAAAATTTTAGTGGGCCAACTCCGACCCTGGCAAAATTAAATACCAAATCATTTTATGAGGGGCAGAGGCGCTCATAGGGGTATCCTACTCTGAACTCTAAAAGGAGCTCTGGCCAAATAGTTTTATACATAGGCTGTTTTTCAAGCTCTGATAGTCCATTAAAAAAAAAGACAATTGTAAATAACAAAATGAATTTATTACCAAAAGTTAGGTACAGACATGCTTACTTTTTGACATAATCACCGTGAAGATTGAGGCATTTGTCATATCTGTGGATGAGTTTTTCCATCCCCTTGTCACAGAATGTTGCTGTTAGTTCAATTAAAAAGTGTGCGATCTAGCTACTTCAGCCCCTTGTTCAGAAAATAAAAATATGAACTCTGATCAATTAGTCTGGTTCATTCAGAAAAATAGAGTACTTATTTAGAACAGGGACAATAAAGGAATGATCCAAAATATTTAAATTCAATTGGATCAAAATAATTTTACTACTAAACACAAATACTACAAAGAACATTACAAATTTAATAAATTAAATTGATGTATTTTGTATTTAAAATAAATGGATTATTACAAAATATTAAAATATTTTTAAAAATTAATAAATATATAATAAATTTTCTTTCATTTAAATAAAAAAAAAAAAGTAAGTTTAAAATGTGGGAGTCAGAGTCAACACATTTTTTTTGGACTTTGACTTCTTTGGCCAGAAATTCCTCCCAACTCTGACTCCACAGCCCTGATATCTAAACAAACCATATTCCATTCACAATTAGAAGTGAATAGTTCTGGGTTTCTTTTGCATCCACTTAAAACATAACAGCAATAAGACATACCATCAAATTTTATCATGTTAAGATGACTTCTTAAAGTAATAAAAACTAAAATGATGCTAGAGCCATATTTTTGATGTGGAAAAATTGTTACAGATAATATACAATGGCATATAATCAGCTTAATTAGTCAAAAGCTTTTTAACACACAATCTACAGATTGTATGTTGGAAAATACTATTATTTATATCAAGAGTATTTTATCATAGTTATTTTGTATTCTAATAAATGTACAAGAGCAGTTCAACTTCTGTTTGGAATTTCAGTAATGTTTATGGAACTGTATTTGCTACATAGTCTGAATTTTGCTACATAGTCTGTTTCTTTTTAAGTACTCTTACACAAACTGATGCTTCTCTCATCATTTTGGTCTTTAGGGTTGTGTTGGAGTCATTACATGACAACTCTCTGCAGCCAGAGACTTCAGCATTCCAGGTAAATCTTCTGTCTCCCAAAGCATTGTTGAAAGGCCATACCGGTAATAATTGCCGAATGACAGATCCAGACTGTAGGCCAGGTGATCCAGAATTTCCTAAGTCTGTTGATTGCCTCTACCATGTGCAAGGCTGTTCTTTGACACTAGTCAAAAGACTTCTATTCTATAGCCAAATGATGAAAGAAGTGTCAGCATGAGGAGGGGAGTTTGTAGAGAAAAAAACATAAATTGGGACTACATAGCACATGTAATTCTATTGCCTTTACTGAAATTCCAGACAGAAGTTGAACTGCCGTTGTATTTTACATTTGTTATATTAGTGAATTAATTAACTAACTAATTTACTAATTAATGAAAGATAGTATACAAAATCTTAAAAATATTTTATAAAATAAATTTCATTTAATCTTAATTAACTATTTCTGGGAGTTTTTCCTTAATTTTAAATAATCGTTATTTGAAGAAGAAGAACATTTGGGAATACGTTTAGGTAGATGCATTTAAATTGATTAATAAAAATTTATATTGCAAAATGTGATAGCAAATATATTTATCTGAACAAATAATTTGACCATGTTTTCTTATATTAAAAAAAATAGTTTATGTAATTGTCTTTAAAATAATTTTAAACTTGTAAATGAAATAAAATATTTATTTCTTATATATATTCTTATTTGAATATATATTTGCTATTTCTTGCTGTTAATATAGAACTTCAGTTTTTAAATAATATTGAAACAATAAATTTAGAAAATCTAATTGTATTACAAATCTTCAAATGATATATGATTTAATAATTTAGGACATAAACTAGTTATAACATATAAAATTTTCTGAGAAATGTATAATTAATATATATGGTTTTTTTAAATGTAGGTAGAAAAATTATTGGAAATTTATTTATATTTAAATAATTAAAAATGTCTGATTCAAAAGGGAAATTATTATTGTATAGAGTTATATTACAATATATTAATATTAATGATTATATAGAGTGATCAACAAAAATTTTGCTTGCAATGAGTAGAATTGGAAACATTGTCAGCTTCCATTGCTTGTTATTGTCTTGTTTGTGTTGCAAGAACACTTGAATCTTGAAAATTTATTTTCTACAGTATTTGGATAACATTAAATAAATAAAATAAATTATAAAAATACCATTTTCCGATCAATGTGACAAATCATTCTGGTACCACTGATTTATGGTATTGCCAAATCTGTTCTTGCAAGTACATTTTTTATTTGATCACATACATAATTGTAAACTTAATTTAATGATTTAAAAAATAAAAATTATTTTAATTATAACAGTTAAATCTGCAATAATAATTACAATTGCTGTTTTAGACTTAAAATCAGAAAGCTTCCTGTTTTATTTAATTAATGTAACATGAAACCTTCAGATTTTTGGTTACATTTAAGATAAAATGCTTAATAAATAGATGATTTTATGTATTTTTGTGTACAGATCTATACTCGTAAGTATATCATCTCTCTTTTGATTTCTTTATTAACACTAAAAATAGGATACTTCTATAAGTAAGGAGTTTAATCTGCTGTCATTAGCATACTCTTTAAGTTTTTTCTTTATATTTCTTTTAAATGATTAAATTTTATTTTTTTCCACTGTATTAATATATGAAACTTGTTTTTAAATTAGTATTTTAAATATTTTACAACTATTTATATCGACATTCAATGTGCTTGTCTATAAGCTTTTTTTAATATAAGCAAACAGACATCTCATTTGTTGAAAAGTCTCAGTACAATATAATATTCATAGTTTTCTCAATAATATGATTTATTTAATCATATTTTCTATAGCATTGTGCTATTAAAAACCTTTCTATGATTATATTGTTGATATCATCTGAAAAATTATAATTTATTTATTATAATTTTTCAAAATTATGCATTTAAATAAGTTTTTTTATTTTATGCTATTTTAAAAATATTTTCAGAATGTTTGCAAGTAATCTGCAATTTATTTCTTCCATTTTTACCTATTGAAAAAATTAATGCTGAATTATTTGAAAAACTTATCCCAAAGGTATACATATAAGATAAATTCAGTTAATTAATTATTTTTATGTTAATGTTATATAATTAAACAATCTTTAAAAAAAGCAAAGTTTTTATCATTAAAATTAAAAAATTTTAATATAACATAACTGTTAGATTGCCTTTATATGTTAAGATTAATGATTAGAAATTTGTTTGAATTATATAATTTATGGTAAAATATAATAGTTTAGGTAATTCAGATTCAGAGTTTGTGATAAAATTTACAAAATAAACATCCTAGAAAATAATCATAAGAATGAATTCCCTTTAACTGTAGAACTTGATCATGATTATTAAAAATGATTGATTACCTTTGATTAAATATTTTAAAATTTTGACATTTATTATGTAATTAGATTTCAGCTTTGTTCCAGAATATCATCATAGACATTAAAGATATTATTCAAAGTGAAGATCTAGATTGTAATAAAACAGAAAATATAACTGATTTTTTAGAGGTTTGTATAATTTAAATATCAATGATTATAAGTATACAGTAATACCCCAAACTTACGTGATAGGTGGGATTGAGCAATAACCTTGTAAGTCGAATTCGCATAAGTCGGGGTATAATTTCATAATTTGTGTAAAATCCAAGTTGGATTTATGTAAGCTAATAAATGTTCTTGTTAATCTTATCTCGTCTTTTGATTTGTTCATGGTTACAAGAAATCACCATGTAGTGTCTCTCAAGTCTCCATAGATATAACAAACACAGAAATAAATAACACAAAATAAATTGTAGCTATGTGTCAATTCCACGCAACACGTCCAAACATGTAAGCCAAACAATAGTGTGGGTGAGTGAGTAATCAAGAGTTGTGTGGCACTCAAACAAAAGACGAATCGACAAGATTTGAAAATCATGTAACTCCGGGTTCACGTAAGTCGGGGTAGTGTAAGTTGCGGTATTACTGTATATATAGGGTGTCCCATAGGTCTGGAACAAATAGGAATTATGCTGATTTTTGTTTATTCTTTTACAAGTACTGAGTAAGGAGGAATGAAATCAAGTTATTTTGATGATGGAGACTTGCAATTAGAAAGAAATTGCCAAAGTATATAACAGACTGAATTCAGAATGCTGTATGTTTGGTGAGAAGTCTGAATAATGCCTGTTAAACTCTGACAACTTCTTTCTCAGTGCAGGTCTCTACAGTATCACTAAAATAATTTGAATTCATTTTACCTTACTCATACCATGCTTTGCCTGCAAAAGAATAAACAAAGATCAACATAACTTCTATGGTTCCAAACTATTAGAAAATGTATATTATAATTTAAATATTTAAAAATATATATATTTATAATACTATTTGTAACAAGAAAAAAGTAATAACTTTCCTAATAATGGCTGTATGACTGGAAAGTTCATAATAATCAGCATACATTTATCATCTAAACCTAGAAAAATAAAGAAATCCTTGATTGCTTTTATCCCTGGAATTATTAGATATTTAACATAAAAGTGCTGAATATGTTCTGAAGATAAGTATAGCAGTAAAAATCTTAAAAAGTTTTGTACCAGCTGGATCTACATAAAACATGAATTTGTTTTCATTAGTACTAAGCAGTTAATACTGTAGAGTTACCTGTCTTCAATTGTTTTGACTTTTTGTATCATGCAAAAAGTAAAATTATTATTAAACTTGAAAATAATTCTAATAATTATCCATAGCTGTATATTGTCTAAAATAAGTAGTACAATGTACAGTGGGTGATTGGTTAATGAACAAATCGGATAACGAACATTTTCGTGAAAGATTTTTATGATCAGACAACAAACACACGTTCGGATAATGAACACTTCACTGAACAAACATAAAAAGAAGTGACGAAAATAGCAAATACCGATTTATTTTCTCTTGTCTTCAGGCAATAATTTGAAACTTTTCGGAGCACTAGAGATGTCCACATTGACACTCAACCCAGAATATACTGATAAGATAGTATTCCTCCAAACCTTGAAACTCTCCCTTGTAATTCCAGCCTTTTATTTTTCTAACAGAAACAATTCTTTTATAGTATTTGCAAGACTGTCAGGCGGGCACTCGTTAAGTTTTGCGTGGGTATTTATTTTCGAAAGGTGAGAGTATAATAGCAAAGGTAGATATCTGATGATAATAGTGGGCAGATATCTGATGATCAATAGGATGACTGTCACGCCAAAGTACTGTATTTTAAAAAGAGAAAACACTGAGGTCGGCATTACATGTGCGTTTTAAAATGCACATGTAACGCCAATCTCATTGTCTTTTTTTTTTTTATAAGATATCTGATGTCTGATGTTGCTGGGCAGTATGGCTTGAACAAATCTACAGTAGGGTGCAGTTCAATCCTATCTAAGAAAGATACAGTATAATCAAGAAGACTCAAGTAGCTAAAGTAATAACAAAAATCACTTCTGAGAAATAAAGAACATTAAAGAGCTCATAACGGAACCTGAAACATATCTGACGACAGAAGAAAGCCAAGAACTCTTGAATGAAGAACACTAAGAAACTCAGTGAGATATGTTTTATTATGAAAAAAAGGATTAATGCCAATATCTGCTATTAATTAAAGATCTTTTGAAGAAGTGGGGGATGTCAGATCAACAGTCTTAGAATGGCATACAAATCAGGTTGAGGTTAATAGGCTTGGGGATCTCTACAATTACAATGCTATTAATTACTTCTGAAAATCCTGAAGAAGAGAGAAAAGCAATTGACATTAGACAGATTCTTTAACCCCAACAAACAAAAAAAAAATAACTAATAAAAATGCAAGACTGCATATATATGTATTTTTATTATTACATATAAATGAATATAGTAAGAAAGTATATATTTTTTATTTTTTGGGGTCTCCAGAATGAATTAATCAAATTCCCATACAAACCTATGGTAAATTGATAATCAGTTAATGAACAATTCGGATAGCGAACAAAGTCTTGGAACGGATTATGTTCATTAACTGATCACCCACTGCATATACTTTGTATATATAATTTATGATTTAATTAATGAAATGATTGATTGATTGATTGCAGCTTTTTTTCTTTTTACAGGCAATCTGTTCACTTCTTTGTAATGTACTTATCAGTATTGAATTTTTAAATAAAGAAACATCTATTATGTTGGAACATTTTTATAGTTTACCAGAAAATATCATTGCTTTTTTGAAAAAAATTTATAACCATTGCAAAGTAAGATATTAGTAATACTATTTCTATATTTATTTTAAATATCTAATAAAAATAAAAAATTTAAATTTCATTTTGTTAAAATATTTCAATTTGAAAAAAATTGTAGACCTATAAATTCCTATTGTTATCTGTCTGTCTTTCCTTAATCTCAAGAACAGAGTTAAATTGATGAAAGTAGAGACTGGATATGGAAAGCATATGAGCAGGAGACCCTGATTAACTATATGCAAACTTCAAGTTTGCATTCAAAGTCACATTATTTCAATTAAAAACTTTTTGAAATGATTATAATAGATGACTTGCATATATTTTAAATGAAATAAATTAAAAATATGATTATTTTTAATCATATTGCAGCCCAGTATTGTGGCAATATCACAATAAATAATTGCTCATTTTTCATTTAATAATATCTTGTGTTCAAAAATGATGATAATTTAAAATAATTATTTTGAATGTAACTTTAAAACAAAAGTTACATTCTGCATATAATTTATAAATGTCTATCTAAAGTCTGTTCACATTAAGAATAAATTCAACACAAACAATCATGATGACATTCAGTTCAGTTAGTAGTCTATGATTTGCTTTAAATGAATTTCTGGTGAAAACATAACATAAAAATCATTTTTGTGATTAAATAAATTTATTATAAAATGTTAAAAAACTTTTAGTAAGAATCAATAAAGTAAATGGTTTTTATTGATGATAATTCTGATTTTAAAATGTGAAAATATATGCCCACATTAATCATGTATCAAGAGTTATTACAAGGGTTTATGCGTGTTCGTGTTTTTAAGCAGAAGTGTGTAACATGGATTCTCCAAGTTCTGTTTTAGAAAAAATGTTAGCGAAAAATTTTAAACAGTACAGTTAGAAAAACAGTTGTGAATCTTGATACTTCAGTAAATGATATTGTAAATATAACTGCTGGATGTACTGGAGTATCTCATTCTACAATCTACTAATGTAAATAGAAAGTTACATGAAAAGTTAGTTTATTGACTCCATCAAGAAAATGAAAACATCAAAATTTTGAAACAAAAGTGGATGAATTTACAAAAACAGTCATCAGAGATAAAATTCATAAATTTTTTTTTCTAATGAAACTCTCACCACAAATACTATATTAAAACTAGTTAATGAAGGTAGTGATCTGTCTGAATTTAAATGTACTGTTTTATAAACTAATAAAAATGATAAGATTTTAATTTAAGAAATAATCAGGAATTTCACTTCTAATTGAAAAAGACAAAATAGTAGCTTGGCATCACAGATATCTGAGATCAATTAGAAAGTATTGTGCTGAAATAGGCTTATACATTTTTTAGATGAAACATCAGTAAATTCAGGACATACCTGTAAATCATTATGACAAAATACTAAAATTACATCTGCAAAACAAGCATTTTTAGAATGCCAATAGGTCTAAAAGCACCATCTGGCAAAGGAGGATATCTAATAATTATATGTAGAGAAAGTTGAGAAGATTTTGTTCTCAAAGCAAGTTTAATTTTTCAAGTACATTCTGGAGATTTAATAATTCTAAAGCAATTGGTTTGTATCTTTTTGCTGTGGAGAATTGAATTATTCTACATTCAAATAATGGCTTGTAAGTGTACTAACCAAACTTAAAAAAATATTATTATTATAATGAGCAATGCTCTGTACCAAATCATAAAAATTGAAAAAAGGTGCCTTGTACATCTTGGAAGAAGACTGATATTGTTAATTGGTTACAAAATAAAAATGCTGGATATAAAGACATATTGAAAGTAGAATTATTTTAATTAATGAATTCAGTAAGTACTGAATTGATGACATTGCAGCTATGCAAGAGCGTGATTTTCTTTGCCTACCTTAGTATTACTGTTAATTAGACCTAACAGATGCAGAATCAAATAAAAGGATTGAATGAAATAAGAAAAATAATGAATACATTGAAATGTGGAGTGGTGCATATTATTATAGTAAGAAATTGTATAAACTATATTTGGTCATTAAATGGAAGATCACACATATGCATTTAATATCACATACAGTGTACTGTATACAAACATTATTTCTTGAAAATAATGTCTGCTAAATGTCCTCTGTCTGCATGGGTGCATTCTTATAGGTGTCACAGGAAGGTATCTATGAAGAGTAGCAATGTATCCTGTGGAATGTCATGTATTTCCCAAAAGATGAATTGTAAATACACTAGTGCTCAGCTCAAAGAACATTGCAGTATCTGCAAAGTTGTTGCATGCACTTTGTTGAATGGTGAGGACTCTGTAGCAGGATTGTGATGACCTGTCAATTGATGATTTTGAACACTGCCTGTAGCTCTTCATCATTTGACTCATCTCAAAATGCTGTGTTAATCTGACACAAGTATCATGGTAAAGACATGGTAATCTTTACTGTTGGGTCATGGTAAAGCCCACTATCTTCACTGCAGTGTGAAGTACACCAGCTGGACTTCAGTACTGGACTGTGTTTGGAAAAACACATCTACTGCTTCGATTCGTATTTCTACCAGCTAGAGTTTGATGATGAAATGATTGCCTGCCTTTCAATTACCTATGCATGTGTGATTACTACACATATGTGCATTCCAATAGTGTTGTCACTTCACATTTGTAGATATAATCCATGCCACCTTGTAGTTTACTTTAAAAATAAACTACCAGGTGGCATGGATTGTAATAAAGTACATGTGTTTTAAGAACACGAACAAATGTATGATGGTAAATGTTTTATTATCTGTAAGAATAATTATTACAGATATTACAATGTTAATAAGGATTTCTTGCAAGATTTTCCTAACTTCTTCACATTGGTAATTTTATTATCTAAGAATTTCAGTCAAAAAGTTTACACAAAATGTTGGCTATTTTCAATGATAGTGAAAAATTACAGAATTAACTGCCTAGATTTGGAGAATCGTGACTGGTGACTACACAAAAGTTTTTTAATGAATGCAATTGAAAACCTCTAGGAACTATAATTGAAAATTGAAATTTTCATCTAAATTTCTATTTTTAGTTAGTTTGGACTACTGTTTTACTTTTCTATCTTGTATTCAATTCAATTTTAAACTTCTGAACTGAAGTTTGTAATTTTGAATATTTATTTTTAACAATTTTTTAAAAAATTTTCTACTTCTAATCTTCTAAAATCTTCATCTCATAAAATAACTTAGTTTAATATTTAGATCTTTTTATGAAAATTAAATATAAATAAACATTAGAACTTTTAAGTGTTCTATGTAAATTATACAGCATTATATCATAAACAAATGAAAATACTGTATTTTGATGGTAATTTCAACAGGAAGTTTTTATATCTTACTTTCTTCTGGGTTAACTATCCTGTTCAGAGTTTTAGTATATGATAATTAATGGTCTGTTTCACAATTTGTTTTGAAATAAGTTAACCAAAACTGACATTTGTTCCATTTTCTTAAAATTATGATAAAGTTTATTTTTTATTTATATATTAGATTTATGTAAATTTCATTAAATAGAATAATTTTGATTAAAAAAATATATACATAATTGTTATTTAACTTTTAACGTACACAATTGATAAGTGTTGAAATTATTTTTCTGCATGAAAAGAATTGTTTCACAGTTTTATGTTTACTTACTGTAGAATAAATTATTATTTTACTAATTTATCTAAATTGATTAATTGATGAAATTTTTAAACATTATTTCATGTAAAATTATTTTTACTTAATATTAATTATTTCTCTATTAGGAAAGTGAATTCTTTTATGGAAATTATTTAGATTCTGTTTCTGAATCTCTTGGAAATATTTTTAAGCTGGCATATTCTATTCAAAAAGTAAGTAAATTATTTTAAAATGTGTATTACATCAAAAAATTATTTAGATTTACAAAATTTACCATATCAATTTAAAAATTATAGAATTTTATCAAGTTATTTTATTAGTTAACTAGCAGGTAAGCCCAGCGTTGCCCAGGCAAAAAATAAAAACAAACATTAAAATTAGTTTTTACTTCTAACCTTTCTATTAAATGATATCATAGTATTTGATTTATATTTACAAAGGTTATATTATGTAAGAGTATCATATCGAGTGCCCAATCTAACACATTTTAAAAGTTCTCTAAATTGTGTACAGTAGAGGAATAAAGAATTTTTAAAATGTATTAGATTGGAGTGATAAACCCTTATGTAAGATAACCTTTGTAGTTATATAAATCAAATACTATAATATAGTAAATATTAAAACAAAAAGCATATAAAGAATTTGATTATTTCAGCTCAGCATTTTCATGTTTATCATGATACTTGATGGTATGAAATGGCATAAATTCAATGGTCAAGAAGACAGGAATTGAAAATATATCTTAAATTTTTCAGATATATTTTCTAATGTTAACTCTAAGAAACTGTACTATTCACAGCTGAATATCAAACAGTAATCTGCCAAACAATCAAATTTCAGAAAAAACAGAAAAAAGTATTTAAACTCAGCACCCTTGAAAACCACTTAAATTATATTTTGTGCTGGCGTGTTATCTTATATTATGTAATTTTCCTATTTGAATTCCACCATACCACTAGTTCGATAGACAGAAGGAACTGTTGCTGAAGGGAGTCAAAGTTAATTCACCTAAAAGTCATTGACCTCCTCCCAGAAGAGAAGATGGTTAATGACTACTCATTAATACCAGTTTACTATTAATATTTGAAAAGTGATCTGTGTTGGATGGGTTGTAATGGCCCTGCACATGATCAAAGTTGCTAACCTTAATGTCTGAAAGACTTTGTATGACTTGTTTAAATTAAAAAAATCTTGTAAAAATGCTGGAATAATTGCTTTTATGTGATAATAAAATTTTTAAAAATTTTGGCAACAGATTTTATAAACTATGCAGGAAGTGTGTTCTTGTAAATATTGCATTTATGGAAAAATTATTCGGCTGCAATTTAAAAAAATTGTAGACTTATAAGTTTCGACTATTGTCACCTGTTTATCTGTTCTTCTTTAATCTCAAGAAAAGCGTTAGATAGATGAAAGTCAAGACCAGATGTGGAAAGCTTAGGGCAGGAGGCCCAGATTAACGAATTTGTTTAGAACGGAAGTAACTTTGTTTGGAGAAAAATTTTGATCAAAATTTTTCTCCAAACAAAGTTACTTCCGTTCTAAACAAGTTCATTAATCTGAGTAGAGTGTAGTAGTGTTTTGCCCCTGTACATCATACTTCTCCAAACAAAGTTAGATATATGACCGACATGACTTTATTGCTAATAGGAAAGTATGATGTACAGGTAGACCATTGAGAACATTGTGACAAAAAGTTGCAGTCTGGAATTATGATGATATCACAATAAATAATCGCTTGTTAGAATTAGTTTGGTTTATTTGGTTACAACAATGTGACATGCAAGTGATCTGTCAAGGAGGATGCATCCCAGAAAGACATTTATGTAAAATTGGTCTCATTTGAAATGTTACTAACACAAAGAAAACCCAGAAAACTCTACTTGGCCAATCTCTTAGTCATGTGCAAACCCATGATCAACTGCAGGTGTTCAGTGGTTTTATTCACTTGTTTACTGAAGTATACTTATTAGGCTGCAATTTGAAAAAATTGTAGAGCTATATATTTCCAGTCATCCATCCATCTCTGACCTTTTTTAATCTTGAAATCTGAGTTAGATAGATGTAAGTCGAGACCAGACATGGAAATCGTAAGAGAATAGGACCAGATTACCTGTATATGAACTTCCAATTTGTACTGCAAGTCACATTATTTCAATATAAAAATTCCCCCCCGAATGGAGTTAGATACATAATTGGCACAACTCTATTGCTAACAGGAAAAGTATGATGTACAGGGGCAAAACACTACTACACTCTACGCAGACAATTGCTATGTGCTACCTGTCACAGTAATGGCACATCTATTTCATGCTATATCATTGTCACAGTAATTCAGTGAATATAATATAATATTTTTTTAAATTATATCCTTTTTTTTGTAAGAATTATATGTAGTTAATTATTTTGTTAACCTATTTGCCAATAGATGGCACTACGTGTAACTCAGAAAATCAAATGTAAAGAAAAATTAATTGATTTATAGAAATGCAATCGACATTTTGGGTGGGATATATGACATTATTCAAGTTAGAAGTATTTGAACATAGCAATTCATAGCAATTGGTTGAACAGCCTAGGAGTGTATAGTGATCAAACAAACAAACGTACTCATTTATATGTATAGATAAAATGATATCAATTATTGTGTACATGTTAAAAAACACATTAACTGCCATCTGCTGCGCCGGTGGTCGTACTGGCTTCGGCCACACAGCACAATTTGACTGCCCGTTGTCACTGTCACATAAACAATGAAGTTTCACTCAAGGTTAAATTATCCTGGTTTCATAAGACGTTGTTCTGTGCCTCTCATGGACATCTATGCAATTGGTTTCGACCGCCGGCGGTTGGATGGCTCTGAATGTCCCTTACCTATGACTGCCAGCATGTCATATGGCACTGTATCGCCCTAACTACGACCGCTGGCACATCGTATGGCCTCATGAAGTGGTTCAATGGCTGGAGGTCATAATTTTTTTTAAATAAATATCTATTTTAAGCCAATCCTCTACTCCCTCAAAAGCCCTAGCAATGCCGGACACACGCAGCTAGATTCATATATTTTATAAATTCATGTAATTTTAAGCAATTTTTTATCTCTTACAGTATTGTAATAGAGATTTAGTCACGAAATCAAATTTTTTAAAATAATTTTACTTCGCCAGAAATTCTTTTTACAGAAGTATAGATTTTTTTAAAATCAAGAAATCAAGTTGGTTATGAGTTATTATTTGCGTATATAGCAGTGTTTCTCAACGGGGGCGATATCGCTCCCATGTGGGCGTTTTTCCATGTTCAGGGGGCGATTAGTAACAATTTATATTTTGGGGGNCATATATCTTTCTTATCTTCGCTCTGCTGACTGTTATATAATGACCCTTTTATTTATATTATAATAAAATATTAAATATCAAATTTTCTTATTTTGGCATGTCATTATGCAAAATATCATATTACAGGTGGCAGTTAACGTGTTAATTAATATAGTTTTATTTAAACTATGATGAGTTTTAGTAAACTTAATTACAAAAATTGATTGCTTTCTTTCTAAATTGCTATACTGTACTTGACTTCAGAAAGTTTTTATTTTGAAAAATTTAATTTCTTAACATTAAAAAGTTTATTTTTTAAATATAGTACAGATTTTTATTACAATTGAATAAGAAATATGTTTTAGGCAACTTGTCTTCTTGAGCTTTAGCATCACCACTTTATAAATTGAATTGAGAATTATGTGTAAATTTTAGTATAGTAAATAGTAAATGTCATAGTTTACTATAATTATTATTTAATTAAACAAACAGTTATATTTTAGAATTGTATTAATTTCATGATAAAATTTACCTCACCAGAATGTATCAATGCAGGAAAATGATTTAATGACAAACAAGTAAAATGGCAAAACCATATTTGGGACAAGACTGTCTTGGAGATGGAATCACTTTGATGCTCAAAGCAGGTCTCATTCTCATTCTCCTATCTTCTTTGATATCGCTGCTTTTGGGCGCGATCGTTCAAACTTCGCCGGCCACCACTACGAGATCATCCATGATGCATCTTCGATCAAATTAACTTATCTAATTTCAGATTTTCTCTCTGTTGCGTGTCGGCCCAGGTTGAATTTTTGTCAATGCATAATGAAAAGTTCCTGTTTTTGAAAAAAATAATCATGGCTATTGTATCATCCGAAATTATTTTTTTATTTTGCACAAACAATATACAGTTTAACCCTATTATAATGTCATTGGATGTAACGACAATCCTAATATAACATCAAATTTTTATCAGTCCTATGATTTTACTATACTAGATAATGTTAAAAAAACCCACTTGTAATGACATAAAACTGTTTTAACGTCATATTTGAAGCACTCCCAAATTTACAAAATTAGATTATAAATTTTATTTAACATAGAAGAAACTACGTGTTCAGTCCTAAGGTCAGAGTTCACTTCTTAGAACGACTGTGGGTGNTTATATAAAAAATTATCTTATAGTAAACTCTCTTTTTGCCACTCGTTGTGAAATTTAAATAATCAGACGTCATACTGTATTCGTACTAACGTTTGTATAATAATCTTAATATTTATTAAATTTTCTTTTGTTAATTAATCAAAGTTCGACTTCGATTCATTTACATTCCGGTCACTCTATTGACAGACTCAACCCTTATTACTAGACACTTTTACACGAGTTAGGACGTTTTACTTTCTATCCTAACTGGTGTCAAGAATCTTGACATAAACAGAAGTTTTTATGATCTCTCGGTCTTATTGAATTTATAGCCATTGCAGACTTCGAGTTTCATATGAAGTGTCAGGAGTTTGGGACAAGACCCTATCTGAACACCGTGAGTTCTCACAATTCTCACTACCCTGTGTTGTGTTATTTTCAATTTCTTATTTATTTTACTTTACACTTTATGTTTAGAATATTTTTCACAACTAATTGAATATCACTAAAAGAAAATAAAAAATAAATTTTTCCTCAAATACACTTCATATCAGTTTTTATTTATTTATTTAAATTAGTACAAGGTTCAGTGTTAAATATATTTTTTTAGCATGCATCAATAGAATCAAAAGCAAACTTCTAAGGAAAATGTCAAGTTTCATATCAGTTTAGAATTACATTTAGAATAAATGTTTCTTTTAAATTTTTGTGCTGATTATTCAAATATGTTGATACATTAAATATATTTTTTTCATTCTTTTACACCTTGTATTATATATATGGAAGATTATAATTAAATAGTAGTTCAGAGATTTCTGTAGAAAGAATTTATTGGACAAATCTCAACAATTTGGTATGCATCTGTCCTGAGTATGTAATTTTCATTTTTGGGAAAAAAATTTTGTCTACTGTGGTGAAAATTGATGTGTTTCCTTAATTATGATAATCCTGTATTTTGTATTGTTTGACTTTTTCATCATCACACTTGATTATATAAAGTTTAAGAGAAAGCAGTTTCAAACCTCATTAAAAAACCATCATAAAAATCAAAAAATAAATCCTATACATAAAAAATATTATTTAATGTTAAAATTTTAATGATGTAATTGCAAATAATTTTAATATTTTTAGATTAATTACTCAGTGGAAAGAATTTATTAATGATCGTATAGATTTGACAGAAACTATTTTATTTCTATGTGATAAAATTACATATGCAGTGGATGAACTTCCAACTTTGAGTAATGATAAAAAGGTAGGGAAAGATTTTTTAAGAACAAAATTTAATTTTAAAATTATATATTAGCATATATTCATATACTGTATATTATAAATTGCATTTCATAATTATATTTTTATTATTGTTTGACAGGAATTTTCTAATATGGTGAAAATAATACATTTAAATCTGAAAACAATCATTTCAATATGTGATATATTTTCTAATTATCTTGGTGATGGCTTAAATGCAATTGTAAAATTGATTTTATATTTATACAGGTGAGGTTATATATTTTCCAATATATTATCAATTTTATTAATGGTATTGTTTGTCATAAAAATGTTTAGAGAACTTTTAAATTGAAATTTAAAATGTTGATGTAATGTTTACTGAATTGTTTCACAGAAATATCAAAATAAAATAAAATTTTTCAACACTAGTGTGTGGACTCCAGAAGTCTATAAGTTATATCTAAGAAATCAAATTGTTACATGTAAATAATTGTCAACAAGAATTAATATGAAATAAATTTAAAACTCATTATTTTTTTATCTTGTTTTATTTGCTTCATAAAATATTTAATTTTAGAAAGAAATATAAGAAAACATTAACAAAATATATATTTGGTTTTGCAAATGTATTGCAGTGGGTGATCGGTTAACAAACAAATCGGATAACAAATACTTTTGCGAAAGATTTTTATGTTCAGACAATGAACACCTCACAGAACAAACACAAGAAGAAGTAATGTAAAATAATGAATACCAATTGGTCTTCCCTCATCTTCAGGCAATAATTCGGAACTTTTCGGAGCTCAGGAGACATCGATGCTCAACCCAGTATTATACTGATCAGATAGTATTTCTCCAAACTTTGAAACTCTCCCTTGTAATTCCAGCCTTTTATTTTTCTGATAGAAACAATTCTTTTATAATTCTTTATAATCATTGAAGAGCTTATAATAGATCCTGAAATGGATCTGATGACAGAAGAATGCCAAGAACTCTTGAATGAATAACACCAAGAAATTCAGCAAGATGTTTTCTTCTGAAAAAGAGGATTAATGCCAATATCTACTATTAAACATCTTTTGAAGAAGTGGGAAGATGTCAGAACAACGGTCTTAGAATGGCATCCAAACCATGTTGAGGCTTGGGGACCTCTACAATTACAATGCTATTAATTACTTCTGAAAAATCCTAAAGAAGAGAGAAAAGCAATTGACATTAGACAGATTCTTTAACCCCCACAAACGGAAAAAACATGACTAATAAAAATGCATGACTCTGTATATATGTATTTTTATTATTACATATAAATAAACGTAGTAAGAAAGTGTATATTTTTTATTTTTTGGGGNCAAACGGAAAAAACATGACTAATAAAAATGCATGACTCTGTATATATGTATTTTTATTATTACATATAAATAAACGTAGTAAGAAAGTGTATATTTTTTATTTTTTGGGGTCTTCAGAATGAATTAATCAAATTTCCATAAAAACCTATGGTAAATTGATAATCAGTTAATGAACAATTCGGATAGTGAACAAAGTCTTGGAACGGATTATGTTCATTAACCAATCACCCACTGTATTTGCAATTCAAATTAATTTGATTTTTTTTATAGTGTTTATCCAAATTTAGTATTGAATTCAGTTTCTATGATAAGAAATATGTAATGCATTTACATGCAATGCAGTTTGAACTCAGCTTTTGTTAAATTTTAGTTGAAGACAATGTTTCTCTCTATCATTAATGGCAAGTCTTTTCATTACATTTTTATTTATCAAACAAGAAAAATTTATAAAGTTCTCATAAGAAACTGAATCATCGTAATTGGCAAAATTTGACAAGTTAAATATTTTGCTACATAAAAATAAACAATATATTCATTAGCATAGAAGGTGGATAAAATACACAATATGATCATAAAAAAGTATTCATATTATATATTGAAGAGCAAACAAAAATTGTTAACAGCTTAAATTATAGTAAAAACCATGTTAATTAAACTTTCAAAAATTTTATTTAATTATCAACGTTTAAGGCTACAATCAAAATTTACACAGAATAACATTAAAATAAGATTGTGCTTAACTTAAGTAAAAATTGCATGTGATATTGTTGTTAAACCTTCAGTTGATGCCACATGTGGAAAGTGTATAGCCTTNCATTAATGGCAAGTCTTTTCATTACATTTTTATTTATCAAACAAGAAAAATTTATAAAGTTCTCATAAGAAACTGAATCATCGTAATTGGCAAAATTTGACAAGTTAAATATTTTGCTACATAAAAATAAACAATATATTCATTAGCATAGAAGGTGGATAAAATACACAATATGATCATAAAAAAGTATTCATATTATATATTGAAGAGCAAACAAAAATTGTTAACAGCTTAAATTATAGTAAAAACCATGTTAATTAAACTTTCAAAAATTTTATTTAATTTAAAAAATTTAATAAATTCAATAAAGTAACCAACTTTATATCAGAAAAGTGGTAAATTTATTTGTTTTATAAAGTAACAAAACAAATAACACAAAAGTTTCACAAAAAATGTAATGAAATAGGAGAAATGATATTGAAATCAAGGTGAAACTATGCAGTAAATATTGAAAATTTTAATAATTTATTCAAATTACAAACTGGATTCAATAAATTATTAAACTATTTAGGTTGACTGTTCCATCTTTTTGTGGATTTACTATTGAAGAACAAATTGAAGAAATTCACAGAGGCATTGTTGTAGGCATTGAACCATTGATAACTGCATTATTATCTGATCGTCAATTCATTAACTTTGTTATCAGAGAACAAGGTAGTCTGATTATATTTTATTATTTATGTTTTATTATAGGATATTCATTTGATGATATCATAAATCCAATTATATAGTTACTGTTTTAAGCAGTTTTATAATCTATATTGATTTCAAGCTCTTGTTTCTTTATAATAGTAGACAAGAATGAAATTTAGTTTAGAATCTAATATTAATTTAGAATATGTCTCTTAGATTATAATGATCATTAATATAGCATAGTATAATCATTTAATAATCATAATATTAATAAAATTTAAAAAATATAGATTAATGTTATTTTTGCTTCATACATTTTTGTCTTCAAAGGCAAATGGAAATTTAACTATCTAATTTTATAAATAGTTATGAAAAAATGTTATGAAACAGTTGACAGTATTTGAGGAAGATCTCTACATTACATATTTGGTTTTCATGTTCATCTATGATAAAATGTATGAAGCAAAAATAACACGTGCATGTGTTATTTTTGCTTCATACATTTAAAAATAACACATGCATGTGTTATTTTTAAATGTTTAACATTAATTTATAGTAATTGGAACTTGTGTTAAATTTAAATGGTGTGCTATTAAACTTACACATTTAATTAACAGTCAAAATATAATTAAAAATTATTGGTAGTTTGATTTAATTTTTTAAACTATTAAATAGTGAAACCCATATTTTTGGGAGCTGTGCAGTGGACCTATTACACAGCTCCAATTTCTTAATAAATAAATGTTTCCCAGATGAATAAATAGTTGTGGTCCTCACATTGTACGAGGATGGAAGATTCATTCTACCGGAGTGTAAAGTAATGATTGGGAACCCTTCTAGATAGTTCTACGGAAATTTTATTTTTACAAATGTCATCTTAATGTTCTAATATTCAGCTTTGCAATTTTCTATTTGTGGCCCTAATATTTATCACTTTTTCAGATGAATTATAACTGCATAATATTAGAATGCATAAAAATAATATCTGTAATTTCCAACATACTATCAGTTATTTTTATTATATACATTAGCTATAATATTGCAGCTACTTTGAGTAGCTTATTAAATGTGTTTTTAATAAATTTAGTACCATCAAGCTGAGTTTCTTAATTAATTGTATTTATATTGGTGTATGTCATTATCATTTTGTAATCAAAAATAGATGTAGAAAATAAAATATACTTTTAATTGTATGTATTTATTTATGAATATACAATAATTAATAAGTAATAATGGCATTAATAATACTTTGGCAACTACATAAAATCTTTATTTATTAATCATTCCTTATTAAAATAAATAAACTAACAAGTACATTAGGATATAAGTTATAGCATTTTTAGTGCAAATTTAACTATAGGAAAAATGACATTACTTTTTATATCAAAGTTGGCTATTCTAAAACTTGGCTCTTAAGTAAAACATTATCATAAGTAGATGGAAAGATAATCATTAATTTTTTTTAATAACATCAAGTTTTACTTAATATAATCAAAAATTAAGAGATAAATAGGCCAAAATGAAAAGATTAAAATGCATATTTCTGCTTAAATGAATTATTATTCTTGAATTTATGTATAAATAAGTATTTACCATTGTATTTTCTTATCAAAGTTGACAACAAAAAAGCAATCCAGTGATTTAATTTTGAAGACATTTACATTAAATTAGTAACTTTTATAAACCACAATTATACCCAGCAGAAAACAATTAAATATGTAATCCAACACCTTATTTTTCGCTGAGAGATTATTTTTAATTAAAACAAACGTTTTCGATCCATTCATTGGATCATCTTCAGGTTAAATAGAACACTTCATAAATAGAACTACTCGTTTAAATATTCAAAAATACAAATAAACCGATAACATAAAAATAAATAATACTTGTAAATAATACAAATATTCAAAATAAATAACATAATATCATTACTAAATAATAATATCGTCTGCCTAACTATATAGAGCTTATTATTTCATACTAAATTTCCTGCGCTTTTTTTAAGCTTTTAACCGCAAACTTCCAAGCGGAAGGAAGACCCTCCGCATCTCTTGCGTTAATACATTTTTCTTCAAGTTTGCTTCTATAGATTTCTATCTTTTCAGCTGTTCTTGCCAA